GCACGCACACATTAATATACCAAAACACACATGTATACACACTAGTATACCAAAAAAAACACTCCCACACATACAAATACACAAAAACGCACACATGCACACACTAGTACACGAAAAAAAAAGCATACACACATGCCAATACACCAAAATATGTACACTAATTCAACAAAATACACGCTCACACACATACACAGTAGAACCCCAAAAAATACACCAACACTAATACGCTAAAACATAGACACACACACACACATGCATAATATAACCAATTTAGATTCCCTTATCATGATAACTCTCAATCATATTTTCTTATCACAATCTATTTCCTGTTACTATGTACGTACCCATCAAATGGGTTACATACATTTTGTATTTTTCTCTATAAATTTCGATTACAGTGGTTCTCTCATGATCATCATGAGATAGATTCCTCTTAAAATCTTTATAGTATCATATCTATAGTGAGTCAAGAGTCCTTCAAGAAAAAAAAATTTCCACCATGTCAATAGCTTCAAGCTCTTCCATCTCCTCTTCATAATCAAACACTTCTCTCTCCTTTTCACATTATGTCGAGTATGCCAACCCAGAGACACAAAATGTTGCCAAATTTTGTGTCACTTTGCCTTTCTTAAACCAATTTTATTATATGAAAAACCCAAATATTAAATATCCTAGAGAGTTATGATCTCCAATGATTTGTAAATGGTGAAATCAGGTCACCATCTAAGTCTAGTATGGATGGTGAGTGTAATTCTTAACACAATCCTTACTTTATTTAGTGGCACAATTGAATCATCTCGTTAAGGGGTGGTTTACTGCCACTCTCTCCAAAGAAGTCCTTGGCATCATCGTCAGCCATGACACTACAGTTGAGCTCAAAAATGCCTTTGCTCGCCTACCTTCCCCAACACTCGGAATGGAGTGTCCATTTTTTCAACTCTATGGCAAGCACTGAAATTACACTTCATTATGGGTTTTTATTAGAAACAATCAACAAAATAAATTAGATTCAAAATCCCTTCCATGTGTCTGTATTGGTTATAGCCAAAAACATACAGGGAACAAATGTCTCTATCTACCTACCAGACGAGTTTATATATCTTTCCACGTTGTATTTGATAAAGCAATCCTCCCCTAATCTGAATCCATTCAGCCTCATGGCACCACCATTACGGGTGAACTTTCCACCTTCGTAGCTTGGGAAGTATCCCCTTCAGTAGTATCCTCTTCGCCGTCGACAAAAACTTCTCCGTCGGCCTTTTCCTCTCTTGCTTGTTTTGGACATCCATATGTTCCCTACTCAGTTGCAATCTTGCTCCCTCTTTAGATTTTGAGTTTGTGATTGCCTCTTTCCGCATTGCTACTCCACTTATAGCTCACCCTTATTTGTCTCCGGCATAAACATTGTCCTCTACTCCTCAAACCGATGTCAGTCACCAGCCAACTACTTTCAATTCACAAGACCAATCCAAAATATACCAATTCACTTGTTGCTCACGCATATGTCAACATCCCTTTAGGACCTCATTCTATCATTGATGACAAACGACATAAGGGTGGGTTATTCCTATGGATAAAGAACTAGCCACCGTTGCTGTATATCACACGTGGACCATGGTTTGGCCCAATCCTAACATGAAAATTGTAGATTGCAAATGGGTCTACAAGGCTAAACTTCATTAAGAAGGCTCGCTTGAGCATCTCAAAGCTCAACTCAATGCAAATGGATTTAATCAGGTGTATGGTGGTACTTTTTTTTTGAAACATTTTCCTAGTAGTCAAACATGCCAGCATTCGTCTTGCCCTCACCGTTGTCGTTGTCAATGGCTGAGAGATTCCACAATTGGAAGTCAAAAAAAAATTCCTCCATGGTTCCTCTTTACTCTTGTCTACATGAAACTACATCCTGGATATGTTAATGCCTCATTTCCCACCTAGGTGTGTAAGCTAAGTCAAGCCTTATATGACCTCAAACAAGCCCCTTAGGCAGTGTTTGATTGGCTTAGTGATTTTTTACTCACCCTTGGTTTTTATTGTAGTGATACGAATCCTAGTTTGTATAATTACAAATCACACAACATGGTATTCTTGTCTTTTTACGTTATATCGACGATATGATTGTTACCAGAAGTAACCCATCACAAATAAATTAGCTTATCACTCAATTGGCTCGTGAATTTTCAATCAATACTTGGATTTTCTACACCATTTCCTTGGTGCCAAAGTCAATTGTCTTGTTACTGGATTGTCTTTCCCAAAATTCGCTATGCCTTAGATCTTTTAGCCCATGACAATATGGGGTCCTCCAAACCCATTTCAACCCTTAATGCTAATTTGACTCTGTCTAATGATCTGTATCCTAATCTAACCCATTATCATAGTATTATTAGTGGTCCGCAATATCTCATATTCACAAGACCTAATCTTTCATACATCATAAATTTTGTTTGTCAATTTATGCTACTCTCACCATGGCTCATTTCTAACTTGCCAAAAGTGTTTTTCACTATCACAATGCAACTGCACAATTTAGGTTGTGAATATCAGCTTCAGGCACTCTTGATCTATATATATTTTTAGATACAGATTAGGTCAATTGTCCTCTCAATCGTCATTCCACCACATGTTTTTGTGCTTTTTCTAGGCGGCAACTGTATTTCTTGGAGCTCTAAAAACGGAGTCCAATGTTGCCTGTTCAAGTGCCAAAGCTGAGTATTACTTTATGGCCTCTCCCGTTACTGAACTCACTTGGTTAACATTTCTATGATGAGAACTCGATTTGTCTCTCCTTCTCTCTCTCACAGCCACCACTACTCTTTTGTAACAACATCAGTCCTCTCCATATGACAATTAATTCAGTCTTTCATGAATGATCAAAACACATTTAATTGGATTACCACTATGTTCGCAAGAAAGTGGCGCTTTGTACACTAGAAACATGGTTTGTTCCATTTGTCCGTCAATTGGCGGATATCACTATGCCACTGTCCAAACAATACTTTTGGAATTACACACCAAACATGGCCTCTATTTGGATCCTTGACCAAGTTTGAGGGGGAAATGATATTACTAGTTTAAATTTAAACAACTATGGCTTAGAAGATAAATCCAAAGATCATGATAACTCCTGATCACATTTCCTTATCATAATTTGTTTCCTGGTACTGTTTACATACCCATCAAATGGGTTACATACATTTTGTACTTTTCTCTATAAATGTTGAAAGCAATGGCTCTCTCATACTCACGTGAGATAGATTCTTCTCAAAGTTTTTAATGCACACACTAATACACCAAACAAATGCATATTAATACACACACACACTCTCTCTCTCTCTCTAACATATCAAGCCACACACACACACACACACTAATACACTAATTCTTTAAATAAGTGTGTGTTTGTGTGTGTTTACTTTGGTGTATTATTGAGTATTAACGTGTTTTCGCATGTATGCATTTAGGTTTGTTAATTTATATGCGTGTGTATGTATTTTGGTGTATTAGTGTATGTGTGCATATATTGTTTGATGTATTAGTGTGTGGGAACTGTGAATATATTTTTGTTTTGGTGTGTGTGTGTGTTTGGTGTATTGGCGTGTGTATGTGTTTCATTTTGATGGATTTCTCTGTGTGTGTGTGCACACGCGCACTTTGATGTATTAATATGTGTGTTTGTGTTTGTGTGTATGTGTGCATATTTTTTTTTTTTGAAAGATATTCATCAAACAAGCTTTTGTTTTTGCTTTTCCTTTTAAAAAAAAAATCAATTTTGTCATTTTTCTTATTTTAAAAAACATTACTAAACAGAGCATAAGTTTTTTATTTATTGGTGTTCTCTTGCCATTTCGCTTAATTTCAAGACACAGCTAACGAAAAAGAAGAGTATAAATTAAACTCACTTCATATAATTTTTATGATGGTTTTACTTAACTCAAACAAAGATCTTACTTAAATTGATTTTTTTATATAATACTGAAAAGTAAACTTTGGTACTATAACACTATCTCGAAACGTAATACCAACAATTCAAATTGTACGTACCCTTAAGCATGGTTTCTAAATTATATTTTGCATTTCCAGTTGTTTGAAAATCATTTTTAAACTTTAGAAAAAATCAAGATCCAATTCTTCCTTGTTAAATAAATCTAGATCCATATTCTTTCTTCAAATAAACTCTGATTCTGTTCTCTGCTCTAATTGTACCAATATGATGAGTCAAATTTTTATTCCAATAGAAGATTGTGATTAATGGACAAATTTACTATTTATATCGGAAAATGAGAGAATTATATAATACATAACTGATTATTGAAAGTTGAAGCTGAGACTTATATTTTCATTTTTATTTTTAGCAAACAAAATACAAATGCACACCAGCTGGCCTCAGCGAAAATATATACAAGACTTTTCTTTTTGGTAATATCTCCAAGCCTGTCCAATTGGCTTCACGTGCACAACCCGTAATGAAAGTGGGCACCATATATATATATATTGACTTTTAGAATTCCATTATTTTATCATGTGAATATAAACATTTTCCCATTCCAACGTTCAAGATTCTCTAATGGAGAATAAAGGAATGCCCACACCATTACAAGATTCTTCCAAACCCATCTACGGTTGGTTCGTGTGCCCTAAATCACACCCTAGGGGCATGGCCTTGTACCCTCATATTTTAAACAAATGGGTCCCACAATATCTAGACTCTATACCAAAGCTAGACAAGCCTATCATCACACCTTTTTAGCCCACTTCAAGACTACTTTCCTCTTGTTTTATCTGTCCCTTGTCACATATATATACCCCCTACGACCTTCATCTCCATGCACCAAACTCTTCATTCTCCTCCAACACCCATAAGAGCAAAAGCACTCTTCCTCTAAAATCTTGGAACATTGTAAGTTTTCCTCCCAAAAATAAGAAACCATCTTCGCTTTTTCGGAAATAAAATCTACTTACCTATCGAAAATCTACTTACTTAAAATCTAAAACCCATAATGTCTAGAGTTGTGGTGTTCAAGGATAATGGCGTGATTCAATTCATTGAAAATCCTCAAGCAGAGCAAGGGGATGGGCGTGGTGGAGCCATCCAGAGAAAGGTTTTGGTGCACTTGCCTACAGGCCAGGTGGTATCATCTTACCACACTCTTGAGGATATCTTGAAAGGTTTGGGATGGGAGAGGTATTATGGTGGCAATCCCGACCTCTACCAATTCCACAAGCAATCTTCTATTGACTTAATCTCTCTTCCTAAGGACTTTTCCAAGTTCAATTCCGTTTACATGTATGATATTGTCATTAAAAATCCTAATGTTTTCCACGTTAGAGACATGTAAGTATGCATCACTATCATCGTTTAATCGTCGTGTATAGGGCGTGTTTAGTCCATGTCATTCTCCATTTTCTCGTGTGATGGTTTTGGTTGCTTAAATCTGTGTGTTTCCGTTCTAGTATTTAGAAGCGGTTATTTTAAGTCGAGAGACGTTCAGTTCTCACCTTATGAAGCTGAAGTGTACAAGCCACTGTAATTCTCTGTATGTTCATTACATGGCCATGTTTCATATAATAATGCCATGAAGTTTCAGCTACTGTAATGCTATGTAAATCTTATTATATCCTCATAATTCCATGAAGTTTTCCGGTACTATTCGTATGAGTTTGCACAGTTTTGTAATAATTAAGTCTATAATCCATGTGGCAATCACTTTTCGTTCCATGTTACTGTCTAGGCCCTTTTAAGTTGTCTTTTTTTTTTTTTTTTAATGTTTTTAATCCAAATCAAAATCAATACCATCAGATGAATCGACACAGTAAACAAATCCAAACTATAACTTTATGGTTTTATTTATCCTCGTCTGAATGGGGACACACATATACAACCAAGGCTAAAAAGTTCTTGGCTGTCATGAACTAGGTAACAGACTCATGATAAGGAATACCCTACCCTTTTGTTTTTGTTTTTTTTTTTTTTTTATTTTTTGGAAATTTTATTGGTTAAAAAAAATCTCAATATCAAATAATGTAACACAACTTTAACCATTAGATATTAATCGGATCTATAAGAATTATGCCACATCATTTAGAAAATAAAATTTGAGAATATAAGCTCTAACTTTTGCAATGATATTACTGTGCACGAGCAATGTTATAGAGATTAAATTTGAAGATCTAATCCAGGGTCTAATTTAATATAGACATTAAATTAGTCATGAATTATAATATTAAAAAAAATTCACTTTTAATTAAACAACTGTAATTATTTAGATCCAAATTAAGTACTCAAATAGTACTATTAACTGTTCAGAAAAAGTGTGAATGGTTGGGAGTATCCAATCTTAAGAAGCGGTTTGGTTGTTGAGGATGATTCTGTGAGGTCCCCTGGGGAGAGAGGAAACAAGAGGATGAGACTTCACGTGAAGCGGGTGATGAAGCTTTATTCAAGGGCCAGTAGTACATGTCCATGTGTTGCCGGGGGCTGTTTTGCTTTCCTTAGTTGAGAACGCGTGCACGTGAAACACCTTGCATTAGCCAAAAGCAAAGGATTAATAGGAAATTGAACCCCAAAATATCAATCGAATTTTAATTTATACCCTTAAAGATTGAAAATCATATTTTCTACCCTCAAAAGTAAAAATTTGTATCAACGTGCACCCAAAACTAATAATCGTCAATTTGTCGTCTAAAATTAAATTGATAAATTATACCTAAATCTCCTCATGTGTTGTCACTTCATCATTTAGACTCTCTCACATTTAGAATATTACTCCTACACCTCCGAAATTTGTGCACGTGTGTAATACATAACCCTTTTTGTTAATATCTTTTAATATAACCGTTAAAAAATAGGATTCTATGCTAATAAAAAAATTATAATTTCATACTACCATTTATTCTCTAGGCCTGTTATACTCTAAAATTCAAAATCAAGCTTGCTATTTGAATGTCTAATTTAATGTAGATATTTATATAATGTTCTTTATATTCAATGCAATACATCACTCAAATTGAATTATTTAAATGCCAAATTGGGGAAAATTGTTTAGTAATACTTGGATTCTCAAGGGATGTAGGTATAATATTTCAAATTTAAGGAGTCTAAGTGATTAAGTGACAAGCATTAAGAGGTCTAAGTATAATTTATCCATTTAATTTTAGACAGAAACCTAACGGCTGTTAGTTTGAGGGGCATTGATATAAATTTTTTTCTTTTAAGGTATAAATTGAGAATTTTTATTTTTGATGGTGCAAATTAAAATTCAAACAATCTTTTGAAAAATAATTTGAGATTAACTCAAAACCAGAGTCGGTCCAACCTATAGGCCACTAAAGCTATTGCCTAGAGCCCCCAAATTGGAAGAAAAAAAGTTGGGGCCCCAAAATAAAATTTTATACAATAATATGCAATCTAGATATTGGGATATAATCATAATACTCAATATATTTTAACAATTGAATTAACAGGGAATCCTAACTTTAAATAAAATATATTATTTATCCAATGCATTTAGACCTCAAATCAAGTAAAAGTAGTATTATCGTAAAATTTTTAGAACCTCTTCCAAAAAAAAATTAGAGCCTTAAAGTTCAACCTAATTTTCTTATCTCACCGATGTTTATATTATATGTATTACCACTTTGCAGTCTTATTATTAAAATTAATTGTCTATCGTATAATAGGTATGAATAATGATTTTATATTTTTATAACTTAAATTTAAGGCTATTTTTTGATCAATTTGTTTACAATGAATAGAATAACTATAAAATAGAATGAGTAGAATTAATACACTATTATAAACTAATCAACCACAATTCTCTTACTAGTTAAACTAAGTTTTAATTTTGTTTTTATGTATCTTTAACAAATAGTATGTATCATTTGTATTTAATCTCCGAATTTGACTACGGTTAGCACAATTTTTATTTGTAAAATTTAAATTTTAATTAGTATGTTGTATCTCAAAAAAAAGACAAAACAAATAATTTTTAAATAAACATATTTTAATATTTTAATAACTATTTAATACTTATATTATTATAGAATAAATATTACTAGGGCCCCATATAACATTTTTGTCTAAGGCCCCTAATTGGGTTGGGCCGCCCCTGCCCAAAAGCAATAGGTTAATACACTTCAAAAGATTTATCAAATTTTAATTTATACTATCAAAAATAAAAATTTTTAATTTAGACCCTAAAAAATATAAATTTATATTAATGTATACCTGAAACTAACATACATTAGTATGTCGTTTAAAATTAGTTGGGTATATTATATTTAGATTCCCTCAAGTTTGTCACTTAATCATTTGGACCCCTCAAATTTAGAGCACATGTAACATATAATCTCTTGTCGTTGATATCTCTTAATATAACCGTTAAAAAATATAATTTCATCCTACTAAAAACTTATAATTTGTATATTACCCTTTATTTTGTTGGCTTGTTATACTCTAAAATTTAAAATCAAACTTACTATTTGAATGCTCAATATAATGCAGGTATTTATGTAATGTTCTTTATATCCAATATTTTTTTTTTTGAGGGGGGCTTGAACTCTTGAACGCAAAAAGGTAAAATTTTTATAGGACAGAAAGTACTATTAAACCAAAAAACCCATTAATAAAAATTGGGGAAATACATCAAGTGATATAACATTAGATGCAATACATCAATTAAACATAATTATTTGGATGCTCAATTGGGGAAACATTTTTAATCATATTTGAATTCTGAAAGGACGAAGACTTAATATTTTAAATGTGAAGGATCTAAATGATTAAGTGACAAGCATGAAAGGATCTAGTGTAACTTATCCATTTAGTATAGAAAACAAATTGACAACTATTAGGTTCAGGTGCATACATATTTATATTTTTGAGGGTGCAATTTGTGATTAACCCAAAAGCCAAATAGTTTTCTTTCTTGAAGTTTTATTTTTATTTTTTCGAGACCCACAACCCCTAAAATTCTTATTTTTCAAATTAATGTAGTTGAAAATTTATTTTTTAAATCTGTTTAATTTTTAAAAATATTATTTCAAATGATGTTTTCACGTTTTTTTTTGGATAGGTCGAGTTAAACCATAGGGCAAGGTCAAGGTGAGCCGAGAAGAGAATTCCAATTAGGATGGGGGCTATTCACACCTCACAAATCTCGATTTCTAGTTTATTTAATTTCTCATTATTAAACTACTAAACTCACATCTTCTATACTCACCCCATTAGTAATTGAGCTCATTTCATAATACATATATCACATTAATAGTTAGGTTCACTCATTCTATGTAGGGCTGACAATCGTGTCGAATGGGAAGGTTTCATGTCAAATGGAACGAGTTTGTGTCAAAAAACACTCCATCCATAACTCAATCATTTATATAAATGTGTCCAACTATCATATTCATACTCGAATCGTTTATTAGACTGGTTTATCCGATATAACCCGTGTGTCACCTGTTAAATAAGAGAATAGATTAGAGTATTTCAAGTTCACACAATAAACATCAAGTTGCCACACATTATACATGTTTAACCTGTTTACTCTAATAATAAATCATGACTGAGCAAAAAAAATAAAAACAAAAAATAAATATCAAATGGCTACTAAATTTGAATGAGTCTGAGAAATGGGAAGTATGAGATGAGACAGAGGTTGAGAGACCTAACATTTAAAAAAAAAAAGAATTATAGTACCACTGTTAACGGGTTAAATAGGTTGAAACAAGTTTATAAGTTAAATACAAAATCAATTCATTTATTCCATGGGTTTGCATGATTGAAACAAGTGTCGATTTTAAGAGTCATATCTAGAATTACCAGACCTAATTCTATTTACATTCCTTTAATGAAAGAAATCATCGTAAAACAATGAAAGAAAACAATTAGTTTAAATTAATAAATATATTTACGAAATAAGGAAAAAAAAAAAAGAACCAAGCAAAATTGAAACAAGAAAAAAAAAAAGGCATGCTGAAACGAGAAAAGAGAAAAGAACGAAACAAAAAAAGAGAAAAGAACGAAACANCTCAATCATTTATATAAATGTGTCCAACTATCATATTCATACTCGAATCGTTTATTAGACTGGTTTATCCGATATAACCCGTGTGTCACCTGTTAAATAAGAGAATAGATTAGAGTATTTCAAGTTCACACAATAAACATCAAGTTGCCACACATTATACATGTTTAACCTGTTTACTCTAATAATAAATCATGACTGAGCAAAAAAAATAAAAACAAAAAATAAATATCAAATGGCTACTAAATTTGAATGAGTCTGAGAAATGGGAAGTATGAGATGAGACAGAGGTTGAGAGACCTAACATTTAAAAAAAAAAAGAATTATAGTACCACTGTTAACGGGTTAAATTGGTTGAAACAAGTTTATAAGTTAAATACAAAATCAATTCATTTATTCCATGGGTTTGCATGATTGAAACAAGTGTCGATTTTAAGAGTCATATCTAGAATTACCAGACCTAATTCTATTTACATTCCTTTAATGAAAGAAATCATCGTAAAACAATGAAAGAAAACAATTAGTTTAAATTAATAAATATATTTACGAAATAAGGAAAAAAAAAAAAAAAACCAAGCAAAATTGAAACAAGAAAAAAAAAAGGCATGCTGAAACGAGAAAAGAGAAAAGAACGAAACAAAAAAAGAGAAAAGAACGAAACAAAAAAAAAAAGAAGAAAGAAGCAGATTGAAACATGAAAAAAATAAAAGAACGAAATAAGGAAAAAACAAAAAGAAAGAAGCAAATTGAAAAAAGAAAAAAAAACCACGCAAAGATCAAACGAACAAGCAAAACTACAAGACACAAAACCGAATATGAAAAAAAAAATCAAGTACAGACACAAAATCGAACAAAAAAAATAACAAAAATGAGAAGTAATACTAACCTATATCTCACTAAAAAAATCATATTAAAAAAGTGTTTTTGTGAGTGCGTGAGATAAGATAGAAAATGAAACCCTAACTATGATAACATATAAAGTAGATTTACTTATTAAAATGGTATATGTAGCATGAGATTGACTTAGTTAGTAATGAGGTGTGTATAGAAGGAGTGAGTTTAGTAGTTTAATAATGAGAATTATATGATGTGAGAATGTAGATTTGTGAGGTGGGAATAGCCCCATCCTTTGAACTAACGATATGCACTAAACAAAGTAGGTATTTTACCAACAAGGTAAACCCCTTTTTAAAAAAAAATAGTCTATTCCCCTTTTAGATTCTTGAAAAATGTTATGTCGCCCTTTGGATTTAAAAATTTATATACACATACTATTCATCTAATATATTGAACAAACTTAACGGCCAAACATTTGATAATCAAAGATAAATATTTTTCTCTTATAGATGATTATTGCTCTTACCGGCGAAAGCACTTAGATGAATTTGGCAATTGACAAATAAAAGTTGAAATTATTATAAGATTGGACTACAACTGTGAATTATATTATAAGCAGTGTACTAACTCACTATTAA